TTGTACCAAACAGTGCCCTGACCTGGATGGCCAAGCTAAGCAGGGTCATCCGTGGTTAGTACTTGGATGGGAAACCACAAAGGAAGTCCAGGATTGCTATGCAAAGGCAGGCAAGGGCAAACCACCTCTGAATGTCTCTTGCCTTGAAACTCTACAGGGTCACTGTAAGTGAAATGTAACTTGACAGCACTTTCCACCACCACAAAAAAGTAGCATGTATCAAGAAAATTATTAAGTACTGTAGAACTACAACTTTAAATTTCTCCAGCAAAACCACTGGCTTGAAGCATATCTGGGAAGATGGGTTAACTAACACACACTACGGTTAGCAAGTGTGCTTCTCAAAGCCTGGCTTATGAAATAAGTTTCTTTAAAAAATTTGAGAGAAAAGGGAAAAGCTGTTTGAAGAGCCAACAGGTGCACCATCGAATTTGACAGATGGAAGGCACTTGCATGCCATGAATGAAAGAAGCAAGCACAGAGGACTCCAGAAGGTGCAAGGCTAGTTTTAAGGTCCTAAGTGCATAAGTCAGAAGGAGTCACACTGGATTAGAATCAGGAGGAATACAAGGTGTGTCAGAGAGAGGTAATGGGGTCTGTTTAACTCCCTGATGAGGCATGCTGTTGGCAAGGTTGTTCTCTTTTATTTTTTCCTGCTGGCTCTGCTCCTGAACCTCTGACAACATCCAAACACCCAAAGGTAGCAAATGAAGCTTTCTCTGTACATGCTATAAAGTAAAGATGAACAAAGAGATGGCAATTCTAATTATTACCAGGGAAAGGTTGGAAATGATCAAAATTTTATCATTTGCAATGGTTAAGCACGAATTGCTGCAGCCTTATTTACAAAATCACTACGAACTTCACATCTGATGTACACAGAGATAAGCTTTTCCAGATATGCCTTTGTGTATCCTCTCTTCACTTCCCACATGCACCTATTTTACAGGATTTATACAGTAGTACCACAGGTTACAGTATTTACTTAAATGCAAGTCTGGGTTTTTCCCCCAGGTATGCTATCAAAAGGAGGCGGCCATCTTCTATTTGCATACAAGTTACAGTTATGTCCAATAATAACCTTTTTGTGTGTAACATTTTTAAGGGGGTCATTTTTAAGGTGATCGTCTCTTTGAGTAAAGTGCAGCATGCATTGCATTTGTAAGGCCAGTATTTATATACATCCCTGCTAATCTGAGAGTCGCAGTGTTTACGTATTTGAAGGGGCAATGTTAATTCTGAACCACTGAGCCACTCAAAACTGTTGACATGCAATTTGTGATTCTCACACGCTTTCATGATGTCAGTACTACTTCACTGATACAGCACAAGCCACTGGTAACTGGTTTATAGAAACAAATAACATTTTCCAACTTCTCCATTGTTAAAAGTGAATGCAACCTAACACCTGCCTTTCTGCTGTGGCTTAGCAATTAGCAAGTTGGCTCTAACAGCAACTTCAGACCTCTCAGAGATTCTTGTACTACATACAGTAACAGGTTTCCACAATATCACATTGCTTTCATGCTCAGAAATTTTACTCTAAGGATGGAATTGCATGCATACCCCAAGGAACTAAGTGTGACTTAATTTGAGTATGCACAGAACTGTACTGTAAATGCTGTATTAAAAGGGTATGCCCTGTTTTAGAGAGCTTGGTGCTATGTGCACTGATTTGATTGATGGAACACATACTTCATGAACAAAAGACACAGCTTGGATAAATGTATTTGCCTTCAGAAGGCAGAATCTCTACAGCCAGTTTGGTGTAGTGGTTAAGAGTGGCTGTCTCTGCTCTGGAGAACCAGGTTTGATTCCCCATTCCTCCACATGAAGCCAGCTGGGTTACTTTGGGTCAGACACAGTTCTCTCAGTTCAGCCCCACCTACCTCACAGGATGTACGTTGTGGGGAGAGGAAGGGAAGGCGATTGTAAGCCACTCCGAGACTCCTTCAGGTAGTGAAGAGAGGGGTATAAAATCAACTCTTCTTCTTCTAAATCTTAAATTATGTCAGTCCTAAATAATGTACAGTTTTAAGCCTTTTGCTATAGATTTCATTAATGTTGTCTTAATGGAATCTATAAAAAACTCAAAACTAAGTCTTGCAAGTCTCTTAAACCACAGCATTTTCAATTAGATGAACAGCACACTCCCTTCCAAAAAAACTGTATTGTATCCCACTCCTGAAAAAAACATTTAAAATTTTTACTGCTAAATAAGAGACAAAACAGCAGAAAGTAGGGAAATGAGGACCTAGACCAAAAGCAACATACAACTGTATTCCACCCAGACAGTGGTACTTCAGGCTTGAAATTTTTGCCCCAAAACATATACACATACCACTCCACATAGCAAGCCATTTTCAAAAAAGAGGAGACATCCAAAAGGAAATGATGGTGTAACATGGGAGGGTTTGCTCCTCAAAGAAAATATAATCAAAAATCACAATGGGGACATCCCAACCCCTAGAAACATTCAAATATAATTATCTAGATCTCAACCACAACCATTTTAAAGTTATTTGCTATTTAAAAGAGATACTTGGCACTTCCCCTCAATATAAATATTGATGAGCAACTGGGAGGCTTTATTTCATACATGAACATTAATTTGGTGCAGGGAATCCAAGTAATCATCATTATGCACACATTTAAGACATGCGGATGGCAGTTCCCTTAACACTGATGCGTACTTAGAGGACTAATATACACTTCTATGCCACCTTTGAGTGTGTTTTAAGTTTCTTTAAAGTCTGCACAGAATATTTAAGGATTCAGAATAGCTATCGCATGTTAAAACTTTTTAAAATAAGAGGAAACCAAAAATCCTAAAAGCCAGTAAAGCGACATTTGATAACAAACCTGAAGCACAAATCATTCGATGCAAAACACATCAGCACCTTCATTCCCCCCAAAAAGGCCATCCTTTGTTTCAAACTCTGCTTTTTCAGTTACCTGGCCACTGAACATGCCAAGACTACAAACCACTTCACAAGCCACAGGACCCTTCCCAGAGTCTTGACACCAACCTAGACTTCCTCCCTTCTAGAAAAGTTAACAAGTCACCAGTCAGAGGCAACAAAGTTGCTATTCAGAGGTCCTGTGAGATTGTCCCAGCAGATGACAACAGCTGACAATGAAGTGAAATTAATCCAGAATACCAAAGAGAAATCTATGATATTAAGAACAACCACTGCCAAGGAAGAGATTGGAGCATGTGTTAATTCTGTAAGGCTCCTGGCTGCCCCCATTAGCTATACTTTAAAACCTTTAAGTTCTTTTCCATATCTCTTGCCCCACATCAATACCTTACAAATGATGCCACAGCCTTTTCTTCCTCTATATCAGCTCTCTGCAACTCCAGAGGGGTTGCCACATTTGTATGTTGCAGCAGAAACACACAGGAGCCTCGTGGCACCCTTTAAGGGTTTCCAGCAAAACCTTCCACTTCTTTAGATGCAATCAATCTTCTTCACACAGACTCTACTGGAACCCTTAAAGCCGAAGAAGATTGTGTTCCAGCACAAGCTGTCATGGACTACAGCCCCTTCTTCAGATGCTTCAGTAAAATGAACATATAAGTGAATACATAAAGTGCCACAGAGCAAGGATCCCACTCAGAACATCTGAAGAAGTAGCCTCTAGTTGGCAAAAGCTGATACTAAAATAAAATTCTGTCTGCCTCTGCAGTGCCACAAGACTCCGTTGTATCTGAAGATGTGGGCTATAAGCTACAAGCATAGATGCTGGAGCAAAGTTCTGTTCGTATGAAGAAGCAGCTGAAAGCCAGTATGCTGTACTGGGTAGAGTGTCAAACCAGGATGCGGAAGACCCAGATTCAAATGGCCACTCTGTCATGGAAGCTCACCTTAGGCCAGTCTCTCTCCAGTAGCCTAACCTGTCTCATGTGGTTGCTGTGATGATAAAACATAAGAGGGGAGAACTATGCTCCCAACTGTGAGAAAACGGCAAGTATAAACATCTAAATAAATACCGTGTTTCCCCGAAAATAAGACACTGTCTTATATTTATTTTTTCTCAAGAAGACACACTAGGGCTTATACCACAAATGCATAGAAACCCTGCTAGGGCTTATTTTTTGGGTAGGTCTTATTTTCGGGGAAACAGAGTACAATGGGCTCTACCCATAAAACCCAATACCAAAATAAGATCTGGTGCATCCTGATCCTCTACAAGGCACCTGTTTATTCATGCCCCCCCTCCATTTATTCTCAACCCCAACACAAGGCCCACCTTCCCCCACCACTACCCAACAAGTAGTTAAATCCCACAAAAATCTCCCCCTCAAAGTAAATATGCTGGAAAATTTCTTGACCTATATACCCATATCTTGTGATAACTAAAGACGACTTGCGTGTCTACACACACACATCCAGAACTACACGGTCTCAGCAAAGATCACAGGAATGAAAAGGCAGGGAGAAGGGGGGGGGAGGAATAGATCCTCCACTCATTCCCCCACTCCATCCTCAAGACTCTTCAGCACAAGCTCTTTTTTAAACCAAGCCTCGAAAATCAGCCAAGAATCGGCTTGGGGGGGAGGGGAGCAGGCAGAAAAGAGGAGGAATGGTTTTGACACCACCTCTTCCTTTCCTGCTAGGCCGCAGCACGACACCCTCGGAAGGGCCTCCCCGACGGTAGTAAAAGTGAACGGAGAAAACAAAGTGGGCGTTTCCTCCTCTACCTCTACTCGCCCCCCCCCCAAAAAAAAACACACCCCACGCATCCTGCCCCCTCCGAAACACGCGCTTCTTTCGCACTAGGCCCCAAGGGAGAAGAAACAGAAACGGGGGCGAGCAGAAGGGAGACGACACCTCCTCCCCGCCTTCACTACGGGGAGCAACCTCTCTCTCTCTCTCTCGCTATCTCCCCCCCC